TCCCTGGGGTCCCCCGAATATGTACGAACATCGATGGTGTTTCAGGGAGCCATCCCCCAGGATGACATCGTCTTCCTCGGAGAGGGCGCTGAGCTCCCGCTTCTTGACGGGCTGTTTCTCTCTCGATGTGGTAGCTTGGTCGGACCGCTGCCACGCCACGCTCCTCTTCTGCGGGATGTTTATTGTTTTGCCAACAAACTGGGCCAGGTACCCTTTCTGGATGAGCTCTTCAATCTGCCATCAGAGAATGACGCACTCATCTGTATCATGTCCTGCTCTTCGGTGGAATCGACAATATTGGTCGTGGTTGCGCTTGGTGGTCACCACATCACACTCCTCCGGAAAGTCAACTAGACCTTGCTCTTCTGCGTATTCAAAGACGGCTCCGATTGGCTGAGCAAGTGGAGTCAGTTGTTTGACGGGTAGGAGCGGACCGCTCAGGACGTCCGCCTTGCCTTTGTTCTTGTTACCTTTGTACTTGTTGGTTTTGCTGCCGGCTTTGCCGTCAGCTGTCTCGGCGCCCGAACCAACTTCATTCTTCTCTTTTTTTGCGCCTTCTTCCTCATCTCTCTTCCTCTGCAAGGCTTCCTCCGCCTCGGCTTGGCGATCAGCACGGCCGAGCGCCTCCTCGTACGATGTAGAGGGACTTCGGACGAAATCTTTGTAAAGCTCACCAGAACGGATAGAGTTTGTGAGCATGGCCACTCTGGTTCTGTCATCAAGGCCCTGAACCTTGACTGACTCGGCCCTCCACCTCGCTAGGAAGGTGGACAATGATTCCTTTTCCCCCTATTTTAGGCCGAAAAAGTGGCTGAAGTTTTTCTTGACGTCTCGAGATCTTGCGAACCTCAAGAGAAAGTGTTGAGCCAACTCACGAAAGTTTGTGATACTCCCACCGGACAGAGAGTCATACCATTCACGAGCTGGGCCATCCAAGGTGATAGAGAAACCACGACATCAGATGGCGTCCTCGTACCCCATCATCACCATGTAGGAAAGGTATCGAGATACATGATGTTGGGGGTCAGAGGTGACCTTGTACGTTTTGATGGTGCAAGGCTTGTAGCCCCATGGCAACGACACATCCATGACCGCCCGGGTGAAAGGTTCGGGTATTCGGAGGTCAGCCGTGTAGGGCTCCCCTCTGACGATCCTTCTTCTCAACTCGTCGAGGCGCTATCGTAGATCTTCCACCTCGACCGGCGGTGAGTTCCCCCAGACAGCTCCAGCGCGGGACTGGGCATGTCCAGCGGTGCCTCCAAGTCGTCTCTGCACGTGAGGTCGCCCCCCCACGTTTTGCCTCATCATGGAGCCAGTCCGGCTGCTCGCTCGGTGAGAGTGGCGAGAGGACTCTCCTCCTTCCATCTGCATTGAGCGCCTCTAGTGGGCGCCCCTCCCAGCCTACCGATGGGACCATCTAAGCTTGTGAGAAACTTCTACCCTTCTGTGCTGGTCGGATCCAGAGCGTCACTCGTCACGCTGCCCAGAGGACACCTCTACATCTACAGGCGTCTGTTGACGGGCAGGCTCATCCACGTTTCCTCGAAAAACCATCTGTTGGAAACCTTGAGCCAAGGTCCCCAGAACTCGAGTCGCCTCCTGTAGGGCTTCCACCCCAGCGTTGAGTCGAATCGGGTCCATGCGCGGAGCATGACGTCGGCCTCCACCCTGCCGGCTGCAGACCGAACGCTCACCTTGGGTGTGTTTGAGTGTCGCCCTCAGGTCGCCATGGCCTGACAATCGGTTTCGAAGGTTACCTTGGCGTGCCGCCCCCTGCCTTGTCTGTGGTTGTCGAGGGCATGCTGGTGGCTAGGCCGAGTGGATTCCTCGATGTGGACTGAGACATGGTCACGTTGGGACCCGATTCCGTCCATCTTCCTTTGTGATTCCTACTTGAGCGATTTGAGAGACAATAGAGGCTCTCAATGAAAGCACCAATGTTGATCTAAAATAGGACGCTCATAGGCTTTTAGGAAAGCTACGTAAGAACACTCAAGCAAAAATTAGGAAAGTATGAAGATGGAAATATGCAAAGGGAATTTGATAGCCAGAAATAGCTTCTCTCATTTGAAATTTGGACTTGCCTTTTATAGGCGATTTACAAATAGTAACGGCCAAAGATACTAATGGCTAATTAACTACAACATTAATACGTAATTAAATACATAATTAAGTCGTTTTTTGATTGCTCTGGCAGTTACTGTTCCTGGCTGGCAGGTTGGCCTGGCTTACCGGCCGAACGCTTGAGCTCCCTCCTGCTGGACTGGACGGCAGGCTCGCCGCTGGGCTGGAGGTAGGCTTATGTCTAACCGGAAGGCAGGCTCCCCGCTGGGCTGGAGGCAAGCTCCTGACTGGGCTGGAAGTAGGCTCCTGGCTAGGCTGGAAGGTAGGCTCCCCGCTGGGCTGGAGGCAGGCTCCTGGCTGGGCTGGAAGGCAAGCTCCTGGCCAGGTTAGAAGGCAGGCTCCTTGCCGGGCTGGAAGACAGACTCTTGGCCGGGCTGGAAGGCAGGCTCCCCGCTGGGCTGGATGGCAGGCTCCCTACTGGACTTGAGGTAGGTTGCTTGCCGGGCTGTAAGGCAGGAGACCATCTTGGGCTTCTGCTCCTTGATGGGCTTGATCAGTTGGGCTGGCTCGAGCTCTGGGTCACTGGACCTGAGCCTGCTGGTCCAAGTTTGGAGCCTGGGCTGATTAGGCTCTGGGCGTAGTCCTGTAACCCCATCAACACGTTATGTAAGATTTATGAAATATCTATTTAGGTGTGATATTTTCATCCTAATTCGGTGTTTTAAGGTATGAGTGTTTATACCATATTGATAATTCAGTATAATGAAATCTTCGGTTTAGTATCAGTAAAAAAATGGCATCATACAATAAAATTTGTTGTTATATAAGGCACAATGTTCGGTATTTCATTCTGATCCACCCCACAGTGTAGATGAAAAACCTTCAAGTCTTCACCACCTATGTGAAAGGAATATGTGAAAGGAATATATGAGCACTCAAACAATGTTGTATATGAGGGTCCTTTGAAGCATTGATGAAGTTGTGCAAGGAGGCGCATGTATAAGGGGAGATATTAAGAAGAAAAGAATGTACCAATTTTTTCTTCATTATGGAGTTATTGATCAATATACAAAAGGACTAAATACACTACATTGTTTAGTACTTTGAATTGGGGTATAAATGATGGAACTGATATTTGAGGAATTGTAATCATTATTTCACTAGAACGGGGGTGCAATTTTCCCAGGGGATACAACTTTCATTAGAGACAACACAATTCATTATAAGAGTGTCTCTATAGTCAAATAGTAACGTGTTTGTCGTGTTTTTATTTCATTAACGCTGACTTTTTATTTGTAAAGTGATAATTAATTGTGGCACAAATTGACAATCGTACTCTTGTTAATTTTGAGGTATTGGAATTTGAAAGCAAATTACATAATAATTTGACATATACTTATGAGATGAACAAAGTATCTTATGTTGATTTATATTTATCTTAGCCGTGAATATAAGTAAAAGAATTATTATACCAAATTTGGTAATGTTTGTATTTTATTGAATACTCCGTATTATACCACTAAGAGTGTCCATACCAAATTTAGTAATGTTTGTATGGTTCTAAATCATTCTTACTTTATTGATTTAATATCAACCACATAAACTCGTTTTCCTTAATAAGTGCACCACCTCAATAATTTGAAGTAATATTAGTGGGACGGAGGTAGAGCTAATGAAAAAGTATAACCTTGAACTCTTTTTTTAAGTATAACCTTGAACTTTATGATAGGAAAAACTATAGTCTTAAACTTGTTTAGAGCAAGTAAATACAAAAATTCTAAATTTGAAATAAATATGCCATTGAGTTATATTAAAATATTAATATGAAAATTTATTGAGGAATACATAGAATTATTCATCAATGAAAAATATTAAAATCCAACTATTTTGAAAATATATGTATAGATCAGAAAAAACTTTATACTAATAGCAACTTACACAAAATGGTTGTTTTTACACAATGAAGACACAAACAATATAGTCAAAGGGTACCGCGCGACGTCAAAAGGTGACAACTCATCCTTAATGAAATAAAGGAAGCGTCGTAGCTGTACGTTCACGTTCCACATGTTTACTAGTATGGTTTATGCCTATAAATGCCATCGCCAATTATAAGTTTTTCTTGCAACAAGAAATAATATAGCTAGAACTCCCCTAGAAACAACATTTCATCAATCTTATTATAATCCGTAGTATCTTTGTTACATACTCCAAGAATGTCATTTAAATATGCATTATTGTTTACAATTATAATCATATTATGTCAGGGTAATGTGTTGAATTTCAAACGAAACCCCAGTATGATGAATGGAGTGGAGGGCTCTAGAAACCTTAAAGATGGATCGTCTCATCATCTTGTGTTTCAGGAGGTGCTTTCAAAGGAGAAAATAATGGAGAACACTCGCTTCGCTGCAACCATCACAGGAAGGGCTCACTCAGGACCAAGCGGTCATGGCAGAGGCCATCACTAGCTTGTTGCATGCATGCAACTCCATAATAATTACGTACACCATCGTATCGATCACATCCATGAATCCAATGCTCAAGCAGCTAGCTCTTCAATATTTTATGTCTTCTTTTATTTGTGTAATATAATGGAAGGAAATAAAATACAGAGTATAATATACTTCTATGAATTGAAAAAAGATCCATGCACCTACCATGCATATATAAGTCTCTCTTTTAATTAATCATTTATACAAATATACGTGTAAGATATGGTATCTACCATATATATTGTATCTCTATCTCATTCTTATAATTAAACATTTTATGTATTATAATCAGTAGTGTTAAAATTTTGATCATCCAAATTCGTACGTATTTCTACCACCCAAATGAAAGATAATTCTTAGCCTCTTAGGGAAATAGACTAAATAGGATTAAAACAAGAGTCGGGAACGTAAACAGAATTAGGAGTTATTTTGAATGGAGTGGACAAAAATAACTCTAAATAGGATGCTGCTGCTGCCATTAATTGTTGCTGCCAACGTACGCAGATAATCGTTCAAGACTCACCCGCAATGACCATGAGCCTTTGGCCACTGGTTTAATAAAAAAAGTTTTTATCCTAAATAGGACTAAAACATGGTTAAAACTCCAAAGTAGGACTACAAGTTTTATATTTCACAAATAGGACTCCAGATTACCTTATTACCCTTCTTCTAAAAATAATCGATCGACTCTCCATCAACCGCCAGACTTCTCCCCTGCCACTTTCCCTTTGGCCGATCGCAACTTCGATCTCCATCATCACCGACTTCATCGGCGTCATCTGCTCTTTTCTCTCCCAGGTACTCTTCTTTCTTTTCTTCCTCCTCTTCTTCTTTTTCTTCTTCTAATTCTTCTGATCTTCATCTTCTTCTTGTAGCCTTGTTCAATTGTTCCTGATTCTCTGCTTTCTTTTTAAAAAAAAATTATCAATCAAATTTGAAAAAATATTGCATGAATGTGAAAGTTTCCAATGAAGATATACTTAACTAGAATTTCTTCTTGTCAATTTTGATATATTTCAATCTCAAAATGCCCTGAGTAATGATTCTGAAGAGTGTGTCATTTTTTAATCAAGAATGTCATATTTACTGGTTATTTTTTAAAAAATGACACTTTTATGTCATTCAAGTCTGTGCAGCCTCCGATGAGAATGCCACTTGATATGAATAAATGACAAGATAATGACATTATCTTATGAACATATGTCATTTTCAGATTGTCATCCTGATAAATGTAATGCTACAAACATGACAATTTTTTCAAATACTAGTAAGACTTTTGACATTCTCAGATTATATATAAAAGTGACATTTTGCTTATGAAGTAAAATTCAAATCCAAAAAATCCAAATTAGTAAATAAAATTCAAATCCAGAGAAGAAAAAGAAGAAGAGAATAGGGGACTAGAAAATTGAAGAGGATTAGAAGATGAAGAAGAAGAAGAAGAAGCAAAAAATAAGAAGACCATAAATTTGAAGAAGAAGAGGAAGATGAAGAAGCAGAGGACTTACCTGGCTGCCTATGCGATGGGAGGCCAGAGTCGATGACGAGCTCAGATCCATGGGAGGAAGAGATGTTTGCGATGAATTGCAGAAGATGGCAACGTCTGCGCAATGTTACAGCATCGGAGGCTATTTCCGTCCAAATGCAAATATTTACTCCTATTTAGAGAATTTAAAACAATGAGTCCTAGTTTTGCAATTACCTCCTGTTTTACTCCCATTTTGACGATTTTCTCTAATAAAAATACAAACATGGTATGTACACACCCTTGTACATACCTTATACACACCATGTTTGTTAAGCTTTTTTTTGTTTGTGAACCCGGTTCACAGACAATATTTTGTTTGTGCAAAACATTGTCTGTGAATCGATGTTCACAAACAAAAAAAAGCTTTCACAGACATAGGTGTGTACAAAAGTGTGTACAAACATCATTTTTGTTAATAAAATGATAAATGTTGTGACATTGTTAGTAATTTAATACTAATAGCATTGTCGTTATGTTGCAGGATTTCATTCCATTGTTTTGGACAATGTCATGGTATTACTTTGTTAAAGTTTACTACATTATTTATTACAAATAATGTTGACAATGCCCTTATATGATTAACATAATATAGTATTATTGTTTCAAAATTAAATCAATGTCGGAAACAAAAATGACGATGTTGGAAACACTATATGAGTAAGATAGAGAAAAAGGTAGTGATAGATAGGAAGAAAAAAGGAAATGGAGGGGAAATGGAGAGAAAAAAATGGAGAGGAGTTGGACTCCTATATGACAACTGTCATAATATCATATCTTTGAAACATATGGTGACATTATTTAATGTGAAAATAGAGTGAGTCCCATGAGAAAATTCAATTTTAATTAAAAAATATCAGTGCAAAAAAAGTCAATATCATCAAACAATGTCACAATGTTAAAAATAATGTCAATTTGTTCAAACACGTTTGCAATGTCATTATATGATAATATAATATAACAACATTGTTTAAAAGTCAATATCATACATTCATGATGTAATATAATGTTATTGTTTAAAAATCAATGTCACTAAATGATTAATGTAATATAATGTCATTGTTTAAAAATCATTGTGATTATATGACAATGTAAAGTAATGCCATTGTTTAAAATTTCAAAGTCGTTGTTTAGAAATCAATGTCATTATACGACAATGTAATATAATGTCATTGTTCAAAATTCATAACCAATGGCATCATATGACAATGTAATTAATATAATGTCATTGTTTAAAAATTAATGTCATTAAATAACAATGTAATATAGTGTCATTACTTAAAAATCAATTCCATTGTTTAAAATCCATTATATGACAATGTTATAAAAACACACTATTGTGATCAATGTAATACTTCCTATAATATTATTGTTTGGAAACTGATGTCATAGAAATCTACGAGCCCGTTTGGTGACTCTGTTTTCGGTTTATCAGGCTTATCAACCAACTTTTTCACCAAACACGTAACTTTTGATTTCGCGCTCTGAATTATGTAATAATAAGAAAAAGTAAGGTCGAAGTTACTTTTCTAGTTGTTTTGGCTAAATATATTGTAGAGAATCATTTTACCTATTTTTTCATATAATTTTTTAAATTATTTTATTAATATAATATATTTTTAATATAATTTTTTCATAAATCAACAGAATCAGCCAATCTAGCCACTGCAGCCAGAACTTCATAAATTTAATCAGAATCAACCAATTAAGCTAATTCCAGTGCTACAAAACGGACTATACAATTTTAAAATGACAATGTATTGTTAAAAATAATGTCACAACATCTTGATGTCAATGTCAAAAAGGTCCTAGGTACAGTTGTTCCAAAAGATCAAAATGGCCTGTTATTATTGGGAATTGGGTGGGAATCCAAGACAACAACTACTCTTCTTGACTTGATTAATGTCAATATAAATAAAAAAAGTGATAATAATGATGACATTTGAATAAAATAGTAGTGACAACCCCATCTCTTATACCTTGCCGCCGTATGGTCAAGATTATGAGGGTATATAGCTAAAATGACTTAAAGAAGTAACGATGAAAAAAATAATTAATCTAAGGCTAACCGCAACCCAACTCGTCAATAAATCTAATTCTCCTTCAATTTATACGTATTCACTCAGTCAATTCAGTTTTTCTCTGCAACCCAGCACCGTCAATATATATATCCACTCAACACATTTTTTTAAATTAAATGCATAAATCCTAGGTTATATTATTACACATCATTTATGTGTTAATTTTATTTTGACCAATATTTATTGTTTAAAAACTCAAACATTCCGATGTAAAAAAATAAAAATTGTGAATTTAATTTTTCTTGTAAGTATTAAAAATGTGTACTTGAGTTCAATTTGAAATAAATTTAAAACTATTAATTGTTTTCTATATTTCTATATTATTAAGTTCTCATTTTATATACTACTAGTGTGGACTTGTTTAATATTAAATTTAAATCAATTGAAACACATTTTGTCAAATTAAAATACCAACAATGTGAACTCGGGACCAGAATGAATCGCCCGCTTGATTGATTCCGACTGCACCATCTTCAGAAATAGACACCCAAGAGTTACACAAGAATACATCTTCATTGTAACTCCAATCAGAACCCCTCTTTTGTGAAGACATTTATTAAGTAGTATTACAAATTGCTAAAAAATTAAATATAAAGTAGAGGAAGAATGATGATTGAGGTGTATTGAAATGAAAATATGAGTAGTGTTTATATAGAAATCTCAATCCAATTTTTTATAAAAAATAATCAAAAAATAAAATAAATTATTTTACCTGTTAGATCTATTTTTAACCGTTGGATGTACCTAATTTTCTTTATGTGTGTATCAAAAAATTGTGGACATCCGATTCTACTACCTTCAATTTTTTTAAATTAAATCCCATCCCACCCCACCCCACTAGCCCTTTTTATTCCCCCACAAGCCACCCACCAAATAAAAGCAAAATTAAAGCTGACAATTGAACACCGTACTCCATATTTCCGCATCTTTCCTCTGCATATGTCAGGAGCTGTCCACTCATCTCCTCCAAGGAAAGAGGCGATTGCTCGGCCACAGGTCGCCCCCCAAGGTCTCCCAAACTCCCTGTAGCCTCTCCTTATACGAAATTTGCTCAGGGTTGCAGCACTTTTGGGGTGAAAACCTCACATTTGGGGTTTTCACCCCCTCCATTGCAATCGGTCTAAAAAAATAAAGAAAACAAATCATAGAAGGTACAATTTGAAAAAAGAGTTAAATTAGACCAAATGTAATAAAAAAGAATAGCAAATTAAAACAAAGGAAAGAAAAGAACACGATGGGAACCAAGCTGCAGATCATTAGTTTCAATCATTTAAAAGATTGATAGAAAAAAGAACAAAAATGTTTTTTGTACCCACATTAAAACCCACCATATACCCACTATATAAACCTACCCAAATTTTTTTACCCCCCTTTCCCCTCACCTCAACACCCACCCACGTGCGTTAATCACTCGCACCCACCTCAAAAATCAAAACTCACGCGCCCCTTGAGAGTCGAAACAACTCTCCCCATTCCTTCTCTCCTCCATCTCCACGACCACTCTCCGTTCGATTTGTCAACCAGCCCACAGTCCCACTACTTCCCATTTTGGTATTCTACTCTTCCGGTGTACCCAAGAGCCCTCTATGTGACGATTCCTCTGTTTTGTCTGGTGCGAACCCACGAGCCCTCTCTGTGCGGACTGAAGTGACGACGACTCACAGAAATTGTGCGAACCCCACTGACAGCGATGGCAGAGAGGTATGTATCATTTCTCAGCCTTGGTCGGGTTTTAGGGTTTTTTATTTTTGTTTGATTTTTTTTTTGGTTTTTTAGCAATCTCCGTACGAGGTAGGTTTTGAAGTGATGAGGACTCACAAGTCACAACTGGATTTGAAATATGCAAATGATGGTTTCATTAATTTGTGGCACTTAATGTATGAAAACCATTCATTGTGTCCCTATGAGTTGTCTGTGAGGTGGTTTAAAGTATGTGAATATGTCATAAGTATTGTTTGTGAATCAACATTTTGTATATGATATAGTGTAATTCCCTTGTTGATGTTTATAAGTTGTCCGTGGGGTGGACCAAAGTTCATTTGGATTGTTAATTATTGTCTGTGAATCAATATTTTGTCTATGATATAGTATAATTCCTTTGTAGATGTTTATAATTTGTCTGTGAGGTGGTTTAAAGTTCATTTGGAGTGTTAATTATTGTCTGTGAATCAATATTTTGTCTATGATATAATGTAATCCTTCGTTGATGTTTATAATTAAATTGTCTGTGGGGTGATTAGTATGATGAAAACGGTAAGTCTCAGTGACTCCGGTGTTATGTTACCCACGGCTACATCGGCTTCTACAGTCTCACAGGCTCCTACAACACAATTGACAACATCTGCTCCTTCTGCTTCTATCCCTACATCATTAAAGCCATCATCATCCAAGAAGAAATCATTAAAGAGAAAAGCACATCAAGCTTCATCTGTAAAAGTCAGAGGTCCATCTGCTGCTGATTTGTTGGTGCTTGAGTGGGTTGAACAGAACGAGAAAGATAATCTACATGGGATTAGCAATGAAGAAGCTCTCACCAAGCTGAACTACATTCGAGAAGTAAAGAAAAAAACTGCTGAAGAGCTTATGGAGCTGGAACTTGAAGAATTTGTTCAAGGTGAATTCTACGACGATCCTCTACCTGGTCTGAATCAAGTCAAAAAGCTGATCAAGAGACGCCCCAAGGAATCTAGAATGGAATACAAGTTTGAGACGCCTTGGGAGAACGTCACAATCGTTGTTCCATTTCAAGAAGATCTGAGACCGAGGATTTGGAGAAGCGAAAAGAATATCAAGAAGATTGACGAGCATGAGCTAAGAGGACTTGAACACTTAAAAGGAACTGCAGCCTCCGGACACATTTGGATGCTAAGGAACATGTCAGCTGATCAGAATGACCCATTTGGACACCGTGAGCGATTGAAGAAACATTCTGATTCAATGATCATTGGAATCAAATCTGTAGAAATCCATAATTGTGGCTCCGTGAGATATCCAGTGATAGAGTTTGAAAGACAGAACGGTGTGATTCAAAGAGTTTCAGAAGTTGATTTATATCATGTCGTCCTGAAAGATCTTATACAGCTACTCTTTGAATATATACCGAAACATTAGACTGAAGGATGTTCCGCAAAAGGACAGAGAACTTGATCTCAATGCCATCAAGAGATTCATGATGCGACAAGTCAAATACTATTCTTTGTTTGATCTGCAAATGGCAATTGAGAGCAACTTCAACAAGGTGAATCTTACAGCTTCGAGAAACAAAGCACCTTGGATTGAAAATTTTGAAGAAGGCTCAATCACCACGTGTCCAGAGACTAGTATCATATACAAGAACTACAAAGGAGAAAAGCGTATCTTGTTCCTGAATGAAATCCATAAATATTGTGATGGAACGCTCCGCATTGTAGAAGAACATCTGGAAGAAATCTGAGCTGAAATTGAACTCAGAGAATCCAGAAGACATGATCCAGATTGCTCTTATTGGTGATTTTGCAGAAGCCATTAGTATCCGACTCGACTTCAGAAGAACCCTTCATCATTATGAAGTGATACTTGGCTACAGAAAGTCACCATACAAGAATCAGAGATAACTTGCACGACATTGAAATTTGAACACAAAGGGGGAGAATGTTAGATCATTAATTTATTGTGTTCAAAATTAATTGTAATTTATTTAATGAGTCTTTGTAATTAGCTGAATTAGTTGAGAGAGAATTAGGCCTGAAATAATTGCTTTACATAGCCCAAACGCACGGCCCAATTGCTTCCTAACTGTAATAGGGTGTCTCGACCTCTCTCCTATAAATACAGGCTGAGATGACTCGAAACAGCTCTAAGTCTCTACACATTCTGTTCCGCATATTATTTTCGTAGAGCACCTAGACTAGAATTATTCTCTCTCAACATTCTGTGTATTTTTCATCATTGTATCAGCATTCTGAATATACGGTATATGTTGATGTTGAATTTCTCTTCTATTGTTTAAATTTTGTCGATTATTCTTAGAATTATTCTACTGTTGATCTGGGCATAGTTGACACATGCGTTAATATGTGTTTTTAGAATTAAATTTGTAACATTACATTTTTCTTTAGTATTTAATGGATCGATGCATTTTTAGGTTGTGCACAATATACTAAATTGAATCAATTTAATAATTACAATACATAAATATATTTCAAATTTTTTCATATAAATACTAACACACACACACACACATATTAAAACTTATACTACGTACTTATAATGTGTGAAATATGGTGATAATTGTATATATTAAAGTCAAACGAGTCTAATTTTATGTTTGATATTTAGCCGTGTTGATAATGAACAAACACCACTAAATATATAGTTTATACTACACACATATAGTGGGTAGTTGATGCACACACATACGGGATAGTTGATTTTGTTTGTGTATAGACGAATATATATTTGATTATTATTCGAATCAAATGCATACCAATTTTTATTTGAAAGATGTTTGAACCAAAAATCTGATTTTTATTCGTATTTATATTCTATATTGTCAAATGTATATCATAATTTATGAATCCAAATCACGAATCGAATTAATATATATTATTTGTTTCGTATACAACCAATACTCCTTATAATACTTCTAATATATACCAAATTGGCTTGAAATGTGTATATGTAAATGTATATATGAGCTACACTTTGAGAGTATGTATCTAGCTTTTAAAAGTTCTTATAATGTTATTATCACTACTATTACTATTATTATTATTAATATTATCACTATTATTAATCAAATATATTTGATTAACATTCGAATCGAATATAATGATATTCATATTTGTATTTGATAATAATTTGAATCAAATTTAGTATTCTTATTTGTATTTGAATTTGAATTCTTCGAATTCGAATCGTCTTATACCAATTCGAATCTCGAATCGAGAATAAATTATTTGATTTGTATACAACCCTGCTGGCGTCTGCCGCCATCCTCCGACCCCCTGCTGTTCGCCGCCGCTGCCCTCCTACGTCTCCACCATCAAACGAGTGCCACCAAAGCCACAAATCTAATTAGCAACACCATCACCAATGCCGGTGTCGGCAATGTAATTACCAAATCAGTCATTAAGTTGGCAAAAATTTTAATCGGTATAAAAGGAATATTTTTCTGCCATAATATACAAACGTAATTGCCATAGATTTGGCAAAAAATGCAGGCAATATCAAACCTAGAAAAAAAGCAGGCAATATTAAAATTAGAACTTTAATGAAATAAAAAATGAAAATATATAATGGATGTGCAAAATTCAAAAATTGAACAAACATGAACATAACACCAACAATTTTTCATTACACTTGGTAGTTTCTCCAAAAAAGGGAATTCTTTCTGTCACAGTATAGTCATTAAATCTACCATAAAGATGGCAATACTTTCAAATCAAGGTAAAAATTCTGCAATAACATAATTGTAAATATTGCACAAAATTGCCAAAATTTTGGCAAAATATGAAGCCAATGTCCCAGATCAAGAAAACCGAAACTTTAGTTGAAATATGAAATTAATGGAATCACAAAACAGAACAACGAGACCAATGTCCAAAAATCACAAAAACCAATGCCACGACTCAAAAATTTAATGAAATCTGAAATTTCTTCCAAAAATAAGGATGTTCTTACTTGGACTAAAATTTGCTTGTCTAATCTGGTCAATTTAGTTCTGGTCTGGTTTGGTATGGTCTGAACTGGTCTGGTAAATGTTTGGTTTCTGTATATTTTATAACTATGAAAGTCTGGTCTGGTCTAGTCTGAACTGTTCTGATCTGGTCTGGTCTGGTAAATGTATGGTCTCTATGTATTTTATAACTATATATGGAAGTCTGGTCTGGTTTGATCTAGTCTGAACTGTTCTGGTCTGATCTGGGACTGAAAACAATCCAAATAAAAACATCCTATCAAAATCAATGAAACAAAATCTGAAATTTCAGACGAATAACAAAGAAGAAGGTGAAGAAGAAGAAAGAGGAGAACGAGAACAAGAAGGTAACTCCATACTCCTCATCCCGATATTCACCTCGGCATCATGAGTGGGGGACTGGGGGACTACACCTCGTCACAAACAAAAAAGGCAGAAAATCAAAAAACTAAAAAACACTACCAAAGACACACGAATGCCAAGCTCACCCCGGAAGACATCACTTCAAACTAGAAGCTAAAAACGAATACTAGCAATCAAAGGTACAAGACCAACGTCATAACAACTCTAGTCCCTTTCACTTCGATGCTTCTCGGCTCGGAGAGTGGAGGACTTCTGATAGAGCATATGGGCCTGGACCCTCGGCCTACATACTCTTGGACATGTGAGCGGCCCAAATCCACACTAGAGCCAGAAGGCCCAGCTAGAGAACCCAGTCCAGAATGAAGAGACAGACTTTTTGTCGGTACCATCACCTCGGTACACCCACACCGGAGGAACACACCTCGCTAGGGGGATTCTCAGCACCAAGACCGAGGGGCATCAATGCACCTCAGACCCATCACTAGCAAAGATCGTCGCTAGGGGGAATTAGAACACATGTAAACAACACATTAGTGGCCCATTAATGTAATCAGGCCTCCCAGGCCAAGACCTGGGAGCCCAACCCACATTCCCTATATAAATACCCCCCTTGGGGGTAGTTGTAGGGAGTTCAAAACTCATTTATTTCAAGCTCGCTCTATCTCTCTCTTTATTATTAGCTCTCTCTTCTTTCTAGACTATACTACTAGCGGTTTGCCAGAGAGCTATCAGTAAGTTTACGGGGTTAATATTTAATTGATAAAATAAAAATAAAGCAAGAATGCTTTAGAACAACGCAGATTTTACCAACCTTTGTAAGAGACAATTTTAGTAGAAAAATCGAAAAGGAAAGATAAGACATGCAATCTTGCAAAGGAGGATCTCAAATTCTCAATCCTAATTAGGGAATATCTCATTGGCTCGATAAAAGTTTGAAGACTACTGACCCCATAGACATTTCAAAAAATCTATTTGTACACGTTTTCTTATACACGTTTTTATACACTTGTCTGTGGTAGTTCATTTTTTTTGTCTGTGAACGAGATCACAGACAAAACTTGTCTGTGGATATTTTTTGTCTGTGATAGACAAAACACGCCGATTCACAGATAAAAAAATGACCTATCACAGACACGTGTATAAGAACGTGTATAAGAATGTGTACAAATAGAATGACTCCATACATTTTACTCTAGATATAAAATACCGTCATGGAGATGATATACTCACAGTGACATTCATAACTCTCCACCTTTATTACCTTATTAGACATTTTTTTGAAGGTTCTTTTAAGACATTTTTATTCATATATAGACGTAATTTTAGTTTCACGTCATGAAGGTAATCATACAATCGATGAGGAAAATCTTGAAGGTTTTACACAGGTTACTAGAAGAAGAAGCAAAACAATATCAATGAACCCACCTAACAAAGTCACAGAAGATGAACAACTATACTACGAGGTGGGATACTCATCTCATCCCATGATCACCAGAAGCCAATCAAAAAGACCTCAGAATGAAACTGGCTACTTTCTCTACTCAGTTGACGAGAGATTCGACTCACCGCAAAAACTAGCAATAGCTCTCCAGCGCTTGAGGTTATCTCGTCCGGAAGAAAAAACATTCAGGCCTTATCTTAAGAAGGCCATCTGGTTTCACAACAAATATAACAGATCGAGTTCTGCTTCTGTTGGGATCCCATCAAAAAAATTCAATTGTTAATGTACCTTTTCCTGCTTATTTCATCTGTATTGTTCTTTCTATTTCACAAAATGTATGCTAAAACTCTTGTAGTAAAATCTTTATTTTAATAAATTAGGGAGGTGTTCCCCGGCACCCCCCACCTCGTGTGGCCTTACCCGGGATTCAAAAAAAATAGACATAATTACTTTTTTAGGATTGGACTTCAATATACTTGGTACCTCATTCGTCTCAAATTGGTTTGCAAAGTCAATATTTTTTGTTAATCATTTTTAAAGTTGAATCCTTCCTATTCATAATTAATTCCATTTTTAATAATTAAAATTTACATATTTAAAAACTACATTAAAATCTCTTCAAAGTTGCAAACTCCAAATAATAATATACTTAAAAATTGACATCTTAATTATGTAAATAAAATAAAATTGTTTGACCAAGAAAAGTCAAATTTACAAATCAATTTGGGACGAATGTAGTAGTATCTAGCTTAGGAACAAATTCGAAAAGTTGGAGTTAAAGACAACTCAATTGGACATAAGACTTTCTTAGAAATCAATTCTTATAGAAAAGTCTATCTTATTAGTATTAAAATATTTATGTCGGTCATGCTGTTACTTTATTTCACAATTGACATTGTTGTTTCCACTTGTTAGAAAAACTTAGCCAAATAGTTATGAAAATCAATAATCGAATTTTGTTCTTCAATACCTATTCACTGAATTTGAATTTTTATATACAAATAACGACTATATTCATCGAAGTTGAAATTTTATTTGTAAGGTGATCATTACTTTTAGGTTGAATCGACGACCATGCCCTTGTAAATTTTGGGGTATTGAAATTTTCAAGCAAAATACATACTCGTATAAAATTTGACTTTTGCTTATGAATAGAGTATCTTTTGTTGATGTACACGCTTTAAATATGACAATATACTATCATAATTGATAATACTTTTCAACCATGATATTAATTACTCATATAACTAATGGGTATATGGAGGGATTAATAATTTATATAAAATAATTCATTTATATATATTTGACAAAAAATATTCCGTATATGGTATTTGCCAAAGAAATGATATTATGAGGCCGTTTGGCAACACTGTTTTTCGACTTATCAGGCTTATCAGCCAACTTTTTCACCAAACACGTAACTTTTGTTTTCGCGTGCTGAATTGTGTAATAAGCAGAAAAAGTAAGGTTGATGTTACTTTTCTGACTGTATTGGCTGAAGTTACTGTAGATGATCATTTTAGCTATTTTTACATATAATTTTTTCTTTATTTTATTAATAAAATATATTTTAAAATTATTTTTTTCTTAAATCAGCACAATCAGCCAATGCAGCCACTCCAGCCAGAACTTCATAAATTTCAGCAGAATTAGCCAAATCAACCGATTTTCGTGCTACCAAACGAGCTCTATAATACATGTAGTGTCTTCTAAAGTCATATACTAAAGTCAAATGCTTGCAACTCATTGAAAAGCTAAGTAACTAAGGGAGGAAGTGTGAATAATGACTATAAATACTATCACTAATTATAAGCTTGTCCTGCAACCAGACATTATATAGAACTCCTACCCACAAATATTAATCCATCTTGTTTAGTTTGCAAGTGGCAATAATAATGGTTGTGAAGTATGCATTATTGTTTACTATTATAATCATACTGTGTGGGGGTGGTAATGTGTTGAACTTCAACATAATTCCTAGTATCATTAGTGGAGTGGAGGGTTCTACAACCCTTAAAGATGAATCATCTCATCATCATTCGAAGAAAGCCATGGACAACCATCCCTTCACTGCAACCATCATAGGAAGTGCGGCTTACTCAGGTCCAAGCCGTAGGGGCAAAGGCCATCGCTAGCTTACATCTATACATACAGCTTTCAGCTTTGCATCATCAGGATGGCTCTCATCTTAATTCTGGTTCCATTATGTGGGTCCTACCTACCTTAACTCAAATAATAGAGCTTTCTTTTTTTAGAAATTGCTCAAAATAGGAGTAAAACATATTCAAAATAGAGTTATCCTCCCTGTTTAATTTGTTTCTCATTCGTAAAGTTGGATTTATTTGTTTCTATTAAAAGAATAAAAAACTTCATAAATAGGAGTTTATGATCCCTATATTGGGAGGAATTGAAAACAATGCAACTTTTATTTAAGAAAATTTGTCATGTTATAGTCCTATTTAATTTAGGAGATTTTATCTTCTTCTTTCTTCGTGTAATGAAATGTACGTGTACTTCTCTGGGGTAAAAAGAGATTTACCAAACATTGATTGTTTCTCTCTTTATACCTTTGTATTTAAGCCTCATAAACTTTTTATGTATTATCATCAACAATGTTAAACGTTTGATCATCCAAATTCGTGTTTCTTATCTATCACCGAAATACAGTCTTTTTGTATATATATTCATCATTCTCGGTTCAAGGATGTGTTTGGGAGTTGGGTTTTGAGGGGTAAAGGTTTATGGATTTATGATCATCCTTTTCATGTTTGGAGTTTAAGAAATTGAAGGAGATGATTTTAGAGGGCTTTTGTATCCCTTCAAAACCCTCTAAATGCTCAATGTTTAAAATGAATATCAACTAAACTATTTGAATTTGTCATATTTTAAGGTGATTTTAATTACAATTCTTTCAAAAACTCTCTTCTTAAAATTTAATTACAATTACAATTCCTCGCTGTCCCATCTCTTTCCCCTCCAACAACATACATTTCAAAAGCCTTCTTCTCCTCTCTCCAAACTCCTAAACATACCCTTGATGATTTTTTTGTAAGAATTAGAGCAAAAATAAAAATGATATAGTTATTTAAAGAATAAAGTTTTTGAAATATGGGTCCCACCACCATTCCCACTTTAGAGGAAATGAAAAATAGTGGGGTTTTACTGTTCTCATTCTTTGATCCAAAAGGTAGAATCTCCCACTTCAGGAGCCTCCCACCCCGACCCGACAAGATGGTGGGGAGGTTAGTCACGGTGATTCAGTCAGTAGAATGGCAGTAGGCCTATACACCCGTGCGCACCAGAGACCCAACCTTATTTCAGGTTGTGTGACATCCACTCGGTCGTTGCGGGGATTCGAATTATATTCAAATGTTCCTTATAAAAAATATTTCATAAAAGTATAAAATTTATAAATTATATACAAAAATAATAATTAAAATAAGTATACGCCACCATCGCCACCATCAGACTGTCCCGCCAAAATTATAAAATTAAAATTATTTTTTCTCATTGTATTAAATCATACTACCTCCGCCCCGAAAGAGTTCGTCATATTGACTTTTTTTGTCAATGATGACAAACTTTGGACAATGCTTTTAATTATTCTATTTGTTTATAACTTATAAATTTTATACTTTTACGAAAATATTTTGAATAAGAAACCTTTTGATATAATTTTCGTATTTTGAATAATTTTGTATTAAGAATAACTGAATAATATTGGTGAAATTGGATTGTTATTGACCAAGAAAAATCAATTTGATGAACCATTTCGAGACAGAAGGAGTAAATGTCGTGTATTTGTTAATGATTTTTTTAATAAAAAATAGCTGAGACTTACACTAGTGAAAATATTTTTTACTCCCTTTGACCTTAATATTGAATTGATAAAATAAGAATAAAGTAAAAATGGTTTAGAGTCAAACAAACTTTATCAAATTTGATACGTATGAGACTATTTTAGTAGGATTTTCCGAAAAGAAAAAATGAGGCAATCCTAAGAGTAACACATATCATATCATATCAAGCACATGTCATAATTTGAGGACCAAAATCTTCCAGATTTTTCTTCAGAATAGCACAAGCCGAATTTTAAAAAAAAATAATACTACCTCCGTCTCCTATAATTGTCTCATTTTTTCATTTTTGGATGTTCCTTTATTATTGTCTCATACCATATTTGGTAACATTTGTGTGTCTCTAATTCATTCATACTTTATTTTCACTTTATCAACTCATTGTCAACCACATAATTCTACTTTTCTTAAAAATCACAACACACCCTTCCGTAGCATTATTAGGGGGACGGAGGGAGTATCAAATATACTACTAGTATTTGTCATACTACAATTTGTTGTAAATAAGGCATGTATAATAGCCAACTGAACAAATTAATGGTTGCATATATATTTCATTAAGTTGTTCCGTTAGGTGAAGGGGGTTTTGCCCCTTTTCCCTTTCTCTTACAGCCTAGGCCGACGACTCTGCAGTCTGATTTAGAGCGGTGGTGTCTTTATCTGTCAAGAAACGGAGTTGAGGAGCTTGAACTCACCACGAGGTATTCCGAACCAAAATTTAAGCTACCACTCTGTCTGCTCTCTTGCGAGACCATTAGGGAACTGAAACTTGAATGCTGCTTTATCTGTCTTCCGGAAAGCCCTCGCTGTGTATTTCCCAGGCTCACGTCGTCACAGTTCAGAAATGTCCAGTTCCGTGGGAACTTCAACGGACTAGTTAATACTATTCTTCCGAAGCTGCAGAACCTCCCAATTTATACGGTACAACCGGGGTGTACCTGTACACCCGGTTATTTTGTAAATCTTATCAACTTTGAGCTGCCTTATAATACCTTTTATTAAGCTTCCGTTTTTTTCCAGTCATCGTCTCCCGTCCATGTCTCCTATTAATCGTCTCCCAGTACGCAACAATTGATCATCTTTGTTCGAAGCTTTCATCTGTGCTCTTCGAATTTGCTCTTCGAAGTTTTCATCGTCTCCCAGTACGCAACAATCTAATCTTATTCATCTCTTTTTCGTTACAGATTTTTATTTGTTCTCTTCGAATTTGCTCTTCGAAGTTATGTACTCGTTTTTTATTTATTGCAGGTGTAGCTTTAGTAGTTATGTCTACTTTTTCAGGTATTTGTGTAGCGACTCACTATATTAGTATGATTAGCTGATAAAACATTGTGGTATTTTAATTTAACTTTTTGATGAGCATTTAGTCGATGTATTTGTTTTATCCTTTTCCAGATGAAATTGCTTTTACTGGACAGTTAATTCAAGACATTGAATCCAGAGGCGAAATACTTAAACTTTATTCAGGTAATTCCTTTGGTTTTATGTTATTATCTTTTTCTTTGTTCTAATTTTATTTACACCTTTTTACTTTTTTT